CCCCAAAACCCCAAAACCCCAAAACCCCAAAACCCCATTATGCCTAAATAGAAAATATTGATAAAGTTAGCATAATATATTAAATATTGATGGCTGAATAAGTAGGCTCTTAAAATAAGCAGCTGACTTTTACTTTATTGAGGAAAAAGTTAATATACTTAAGACTTGATGTAATAGCAGCTCCAATAATTGCTATGACTTATCATTATGTGTTCGGAGAAGAAGTTTTTGACACAGATCACATTTTGGCATCAATAATGATGCTACTTTCAGGAACTCTTATAGTCTTGCTCTTTTTGTTGAATTTTTGGTCTGTAGCTGCTAATACATTCATCTGTTACTCGACACTCAAGAATGGAGAGATTGATAAATGTACTCATGTTCTAGTTAAATTGGAGAACAAAAAATCTCATACTACCAAAAGGCATATAGTTCCAATAATAATCAATTCAATCGCTACTTCTTAAGGGTAAGTTAGCAAAACATACCATATTGAGGTGAGCAAAAAGAGGTTGCTCTACAACAATGAGAGAAAATCATTTGCCTTTATTCCATTCCCTATTAAAGAAAAAATTGAAATATATTAAGAAGCTGAAGGTATTTAAAATGAATAGGAGGAAAAGAAAGCTGCCTTAGTTTGGGGTCAAAATAAGATAGAGATTCCTATTCCAAAATTTATGGATATCTATAAGGAACATTTAGTTGCACCATTCTTTGTGTTTTAAATATTTTGCAGTGCTCTCTGGCTATTGGATGAGTACTGGTACTACAGTCTGTTTACTCTTTTCATGCTCTTTATCTTTGAGGGAACAGTTGTGATGCAGAGATTGTAAAATTTGAAGAGATTAAGAGGCATGAGATAATCACCTTTTGAAGTTTATGTTTACAGACTTAATAGGTGGGTTAAGATATAAACTGATGAGTTGTACCCAGGTGAAATCGTCCTATTGAGGAAAATTAAAGCAGATAAAAAATCATTAGTACCATGCGACCTCTTAATTTTATCTGGATCTGTAGTAGTGAATGAGTCTATTCTAACAGGTGAGAGTTAACCTTTGGTCAAAGAGAGCATTGCTTAATTGGATGATGGAGAGGAATAACTAGATATTAAAGGCATACACAGAGTTCATATCCTTAATGGTGGAACTGAAATATTATAATACATCTATAATGATGAAGGCAATGATGATTTTAGTCATATTCCCAAGCCACCTGCTCCTGGAATCATATGCTATGTTTTGAAAAATGGTTTCGAAACTAAACAAGGAAAACTGATGAGAACTATTCTATTTAGTACTGACAGAGTCACTGTAGAGAGTAAGGAAACTTACTTTTATCTCCTCATTCTCCTATGCTTTGCATTAGCTGCTAGTTACTATGTTCTTACTGAAGGATTAAAAGATCCAGATAGAAGTAGATAAAAACTACTATTGAGATGCGTTTTAATTATTACTAATGTTGTTCCTCCTGAACTACCTATGCAGCTTTCAATGGCAGTTAATTACTCTATCCTTTAACTAATCAAAAAAGCAATATTCTGTACAGAACCTTTTAGAATTCCATTCGCTGGAAAAATTGATATCTGCTGCTTTGATAAAACAGGAACTCTAACATAGAATGATTTGATTATCAAAGGTGTGACTGGATTAAATTTAAGCAATCTTGATGAAAAGATACATATACTTTCAGAAATTGGTTAATAAGACAGAAATTCATTACTAGTATTAGGAGGGTGTCATACATTAGCAATGGCTGATAATACATTGGTCGGAGATCCCATTGAAAAGTAAGCTTTTGAAGGTTTAGCATGGAAGCATGATGGAAGAAAAACATCATCGCCTCAATAAGGACAAGGACCACGCATTACTTAAATAAAAAGATTTTTATTTGAGTCAGCCTTAAAGAGAATGTCAGCTATAGTAATGATCGAAGATCCAAAGTCAATAAATTCTGTTGAATATAAAGTATTGATAAAAGGAGCTCCAGAAGTTCTGAAACAATACTTAAAAGAAATTCCTCATAATTTTGACTAAGGTTATTTAAAGCATGTAAAAAATGGAGCAAGAGTATTGGCACTAGCATACAAAAATCTACCAAAGTAATCTTCTGAAACATATACACAAATCAAGAGAGATGAGGCTGAAAAAGATTTAGTGTTTTGTGGATTTTTAGTTTCAGATTGTCCTCTCAAGCCAGACACCAAGAGAGTTATTAGAGAATTAAAAGGTTCTAATCATTAGGTGAAAATGATAACAGGAGACAATTAATTGACAGCTGCTTTTATTGGTAAGGAGTTAAATTTTGCAAGCACTCAAATTTCATTGTTTGCAAGCAACTATGATAATGGTAGAATTTAATGGAGAGACATAGATGACAAATAAGTTCATCAAACAGCATCTTATTAAGAAGTAGATAAGATTGCTAATGATTACATGCTATGTATAAATGGCGATATTCTAGAGTAGATTTCTACTCTTAAGGATATTTCTAAGATCATCAAAAGTATTCATATTTTCTCAAGGACCAGTCCAAATCAAAAAGACTTTATTGTTGGAAATTTAAATAAGGAAGGTTATATTACTATGATGTGTGGTGATGGAACTAACGATGTAGGATCTTTGAAAAGATCAGATGTGGGTTTAGCTATAGTAAACAATAAGGATCCGTCTAAGGAAGATAAAAGAAAGAAGAAAACTATGTCAATGTGGTTGAAGCCATCAGATATGCAAGGTCTTACAAGAGAATAAATGTAAGAAAAGTAGAAGAAGCATATGGAAGAGTACATGAAAACAATGCAATCTCAAGCAGGAGGACCAGACTCAGGAATGCCAGAATTAGGTGATGCCTGTATTGCTGCTCCATTTACTTTCAAATTCTCTTCTTTAAGAAGCGCAATAAAATTGATATAGCAAGGAAGATCTACCTTGACTACTACATTCTAGATGTATAAAATCTTATCTTTAAACTCTCTTATCTCAGCCTATACAATGAGTGCTCTTTATCTTGATGGTGTTAAAATGGGAGATTCTTAGGCAACTTGTATGGGTATTGCAATCAGTATTTTGTTCTTAATGATCTCATTCTCTTAGCCTTTAAAGAGATTGGAAAAAGAGAGACCGCCTCAATCTATTTTCCATTGGAGTCTTGTTATTTCTGTGATGATTCAATTCTCTATTCATTTGACAGTGCTTGTCTATCTGGTTAATTTATGTGAGCCTCATGTTAATAGAGGTACCGATGAATCACTTATCCCAGATGGAGAATTCAAACCTAATGTTAAGAATAGCGTACTCTTCCTATATCAATGGTGGCTCTAATGTACTGTGATATTTGTAAATTACAGTGGAAGGCCTTTTATGGAAGATCTAACTGAGAATAAAAAGTTATACAGATATATCATTTTGATGTTCTTAGTTGCTTTAGCTGGTATTCTTGACTGGAGTGATGCTGTCAGAGAGTATTTGGAATTAGTCCCTTTCCCTAATTATGAATTCCAGATAACAGTTATTCAGTGTTTAGTCGCAGATTTCGGATTGTGCTACGTAATTGAGAAGACCATCAAAAAAGCATATCTTAAGACTTTTAAATGAGAATCATGATAATTAAGCCTGAAAAGTTGAATTAATTTCTAATCTTAATTTCATCATTGATTTTAAGTTCATGGGGTTTTGGGGTTTTGGGGAGCACCCCCTAAA